TTACAAAAAATACTTTTTTTTTTTTAATAATATTTAAATATTAGTAAAACAATTTTTTTTTTTTTTTTAGAATATATGGAACACTTTCCATAGCAAATACATATTTACAAACAACTTAATTACCAAGATATAAATAAGTACAAGGCCTTTTGCACGGCTTAGTTGTGCATTGTAATAATAGAACATGCATTTTTATCTCTGTGAGATTAGAAAAAAGTTTTCTGATGACACATTTTGCAGTTAATTAGCTAAGTAAATAATATACAACAACTTATGACTTAACAGATGACTTTCACTCATTTAGAAGATTATCTAGGCTCTGATTACAATTCTAGACTAAATTTGATTTAAGCAAATCGAAAATTCGTATCAGTTCGCAGTTTGACATTTGAACTGATTAAACACTTAAAAAAACGAAGAAGAAGCAAATTAAAAGCACATGTCAAAGGCCGTAATTAATCGAGTTCATTGCCTGGCCAGCACAGAAAGCTTGTCAGGCAAAATGTAAAAAGTAAAAAAAAAAAAAAGAATACAAAAACAACAACGACAAGATCAAAAGGTAATGCAAAAAAAGCAATCCAAATGAAGTTGACGTTGATGACCTTCGTTTAAGGTTCAGTGCCGGCTGCGATTTATGCAACTGAGCAGGGAGGGGGCGTGTGAAAGAAAACACTGAAAAAAGAGTGGAAGAAGAAGAGCAGCAAAGACTAGGTAACTGGTAACTGACACCCTATCAAACAAGACCACCCACCCACCCATCTACTCGTGTGCCTCTACCTCTATCTGCAGCCACAACCACCGCCCTGTGCGACTGTCACTCATGCAAATGACAGGTAATTGACCTCATAAAGCACAAACACACTCACACGCACACACACAGCAAAGGAGAGCGAGTGCAAGAGAGGAGTGAGTGGGCAGGGATGCAACAATTTTTACTTTCCATATATTATTTGATGTGCGAGCAAGTCCGTTGCCGTTCCAATTCCCCTTGCACATTCTCTCTTTCTTCTATTCTTCTCTTGAGTTGAGTTGAGTGTTGTTTTCTGTAGGCGTTTAACATTTCTGATTATAATGCCCTAACTATGGGCACTATATTACGCTGGGAAATATGTTACTAAAGCGAAACAGTTTTTATTTATTAGTAGAGTAGTTTTAGTTATGTATTATTTTATATTATATTATGTTTATCGAAATTGATTGTTTTACTATTTACATTTATTTTTCAAAAAATAAATATATACATGGAGTATTTTATATAGAGTATTTTATATTCGCTGCAACTTCACTTCTTTTTTGCTCTTTTTTTCGTTTTTTGCTTTTCCCATTTAAGTGTAATTTTGTAACTTTTTTTTGTAGACATTTGTCACGTTGCTTTGTACGTGAAATTGTAAAATGTTAATGTGCCAGACGAGCGGCAACTTATTCTTTTTCCGCTGGGGTCGCTTTAAGTGCGCTGCTATGTGAAGAGAAGAGAGCAAAAGAGATGGAGGAAATATATTCGGGAGCAAACGGGAGTGAGCGAATATGTCCATGTGTGTTTGTGGGTGTGTATGTATGTGCCTATAACTTCTGCTTACACTTAGCATATGGATGCATCTGTGTGTGTGGGTGTTTGCAAAACGCGCAATTACGATTAATTGCATTTGATAAAATGCCATTAAAAAATGTAAAGCCGAAAATTGTAACGTGTTGTCTTCTAGAAAATCCTCAAGTCAAGTTTGATTTTATGGCACACAAAATGCTCAATGATAAGATTGAAAATTTCGGTGTACAACAAAATTGCTTTCTCTTAGAACTATTTTAATATAGTATTCCGCAACATTTCCGATTCATTTTAACAAATGTGCCCCCAAAATAGTGATAAATTTCAACAGCTGAGAGAACAAGAAGTTGAAGGGGAGAGGAAGACGCAACATGCAAGCTAATTCCAAGCGCCATGAATTTATGAATTTCATGCGTGTTTATCAGCAAAACATGCCGCTGGGCCTGGTCCGAGACCAACAGCAGCAAGAACAACAACAAGAGCGGTGCCAACAACAATTGTTTGTGATAGAACGTGTAGGCAAATCGAGTGGCCAAGCAACAAGCCAAAGCATGCCAAAAAAATAAAACAAGAAATGAGGGAGAAAGCACCCGAACGAGAGAGAGAGTAAGCGCGTGAGTAAGAAGCGAGTGGGAGTGGGAGTAATAGCATAAGAGTGTGAGTAACAGCTTAAGTCAGAGCGTGAGCGAGAGCTAAGAGCGTATGGCACGGGCACAAATTAGAGAGCGAGCAAGTGCATGGGCGTTTGTGTTTGTGCTCGTATGTGTGCGTATGTGCTTCAGTGAAGCAAAGCTCAAAAGCGAACAGGCGCAAACGAGGCGTGAAAATCACAAACAAATCATAAAAAGAGCAACAAGAAGAAACACAACTCACTGTAAGCAGAGTAGTGTAGAACATAAACATTTATACATACGAACAAACAAACATACATACATACTTACATACATATGTATATGCAAATCAAGCGAAACAAAAGCGTTGAGGAGGAGCGGATTCTAGCAAGAGGGGAGTGGGCGAAATGATTCATGGTCGTGTTTATCAACAAACACGTTTCATGAGTGGCCTCAGCTGCGCTCAGCTGCCAAAAGGAAGCTAAATGCTGGCCATGCGACGGCACACACAAACACACGCACACACAGCACAGTCCGCAATTTCACAATGCTCACACACACACACACACACACACACTCTGAATTTTGTATGTAGAAGACATATGCCACACATATGCATGGGACACTCGAGTTCGGACTGAACCGTAGGCAAGGCAAGTGCAGTGGAACTTGACACATGTTTCAAATGTCATTTCGTTTTGTCATACATAAATATCACGCATTTTTCTATACACACGCACACACTCTTTCTATACTTACACACGTACATACGTATGTATAAGTATACATCTAGAAATATATGTATGTATGTATATGAAGTTGCTTCTAATCAAATGCAGCTGACGTTGTTTGAACTGTAGCCCGAGCCCAATGCAGCTTCACTTTTAGAGTGGACCTTATTAATGATCAAAGCGAATTCAAGTTTATAATTTTGTCTTTGTAATATTTCAGCGGTTTACAAAATAAAATTAAAATGTTATATTTTATTAATT